TGTCAGTTTGTATGGCAGCTATATGCCATTGAGAGAAATCAATGCCGGATTGCGTGAAGATATTTTATCTAATGAACAATTTTTCCATGCAAGAACTTGATTCCGATTGTTCAGTTTATATGGCAGCTATATGCTATAGTTATCCAATGTGAAAAATTTCTTCGGAGATTGCATTACTTCTTCTAGCAAAAACTCATGCCAAATATTGTGAACATACCTCTTCAAATGAAAGAGTTTTCCATACAAGCACTTCATTCCGATTGTTCAGTTTGTATGGCAGCTATATGCTATAGTCATCCGATCTGAAAAATTGCTTCGGAGATTACATTGTTGCCTTAACTAATAGTTCGTGCCAAATTTCGTGAAGATACCTCGTCAAATGAAAGAGTTTCTCATACAAACACTTGATTCCGATTGTTCAGTTTGTTTGGCAGCTATATGCTATAGTGATCCGATATCGGCGGTTCCGACAAATGAGCAGCTTCTTGGGGAGAAAAAGAAGTGTTCAAAATTTCAAATCGATATCTCAAAAACTGAGGGACTAGTTCGCGTATATACAGACAGACAGACGGACGGACGGACAGACAGACGGACATGGCTAAATCAACTCAGATCGTCATCATTTATATATATACTTTATATGGTCTCCGACGTTTCCTTCTGGGTGTTACAATCTTCGTGGCAAAATTAATATACCCGTTCAGGGTACACAGTTATGCGGAGCGACAATCTGGCGCCTCGTGATGGAAAAATATCTGTATCAAATAAGCTGTGACCTGAAATTTAGCAGTAATTTTAATTTTATATACTTACATATATTTGAAAATAAAATACTTTTAAATAAATGAAGTACATTATATACATATATGGTATTCTTTACTCTATAATATAGCGTTTAAATTTTTTCAATATTCCTTTCAGTTTAGAAAATACTGGGATTCGAAATTTATATCGGCTGCTGCATCAAATAAGCTGTGATCCATTGTAAGTCAAGAAGATACCAAATTTGATTGCAATTAAATCACTATTTCATTTCATAATGCATGTTTAATACTTTCTCAACATATTTTTAATATAAGATTTGAAGGAATTTCCTGGCCTTTAAATCTATCTCCAACATATTTTATGTAAAAAATTAAAACTTCCGTTTGGCGAAATCGGTCCACGAATTTTCCAGCTCACATATAGTACTTATGGCATAATTTTTTTCGTTAATTTGATAATTTAATGAATTTAAATGGACAGTTTTTCTTAAGAATAACGTGGTATATCGCTGCATATGAATGAAATTGGTCTAAAAGTAGAGTATAGTTTTGTTCACCAAAGGGTTGTTTGCATCACCTAAAACTTATCGAGATAGATATAGATTTCTATATATGTACATACATATATTTCTTCTAAAATTTGGTGATACCTCGACATGAAAACAATAAACTGAGAAATTTGTGATCAAATAACTTATTATGTATAAAAATAGTATCCAAAAGTTTTATTCAGTATTTTTACTACACTCTCCATGAGTTTTTTTTTTAGACATACACTTTAAAAAAAATTTCACAGAACAAAAACCAAAAAGCTCACATAATGAAACAGAAAAAGTATTCGTACATTTTGATTATAATTAAATATAATTAAATTATTTTGGAAAAATTTAAAATCCTAATAACTAGTAGGATAGCCCTTACTTTTTAGGACCTCGGCAAGTCGATGTGGCATTGAATGAACTAGTTTGGATGTGTCATGATTTGTAATTTTCGCCCATTCATTTATGATCACATTTTTGAGAATTTCTCTGGAGGTTATGGTGTGTTGGCGGATTCTGCGCTCCAGTAAATACCACAAATGCTCGATGGGGTTGAGGTCTGGAGATTGAGGTGGCGAGCGAAATTGATTTTTTATGTTATAAAGCAACCAAAGCCTGGTATTGTGCGCCGTGTGCTTTGGATCATTATCCTGTTGGAACCAAAAATCATCACCAAGCCCCAACTGCTAAGCACTTTCCTTCAAATTATTTTTTAAAATACTTAAATAGCCGAATTGATCCATTATTGTATTTATAAAAACGAGTTTGCCTACTCCTTCTGCCGCCATACACCCCCATACCATCACACCTCCTCCGCCATGTTTGACGGTGGGTAAAAGATTTTCTTTGTCAAGTGCAGTACCACTCTTACGCCACACCAACTTTTTTCCTTTAATACCGAAAGCACAAAACTTGCTTTCGTCGGTGAATAAGGCACGTTCCCAAAACTCCCGAGGCTTGCTGATATACTTGTTTGCAAAATCCATACGTTTCTGTCTATTTACTTCGGATATAAAGGGCTTCCTACGCGCTACACGTGCGTGATACCCATCTTTCTTCAAAAATTTTCGTACAGTATCTTCATGGAGATCCTTGTCGAACAAATTTTTAATATTTTCACATATTTTCGAGGCAGTAAGTCGAGGATTTGCTTTTACTGACTGTAATATTGTTCGTTTTCCTCGAACGGTTAATATACTTGGTCGACCAGAGCGTGGCTTTGGCACAATCGACTTAGTTTTTTGAATGCTTCCACCACATATTGCACAGAAGAATGTGTCCTCCTATCATTTTACCTATTTCTCGGAATGATTTGCCTTCTTTTCTGAGTTTAAGAATAATTTTTCTTTCGCCAGCACTAATTTCTTTAATTTTAGGGGTCATCGCGAATTTATGCACAATGAAAAATTATAATAACTTTAAGGTCAACCGTCAAGTTCGAGATCAATTATACAATACAATATAAGCGCTTAAAGCAATGTATTTGTCACCATATTACAAGGGAAATATCCCGTTTTGATATGTACGGATACTTTTTCCGTTGAATTTAAGTAGCTGTGTTTAGTTTTTGTTCTGGGAATTTTTTTAAAGTGTTTGTCTAAAAGTAAAAAATCGTATGGAAAGTGCGATAAAAATATTAAATAAAACTTTTGTATACTATTTTTATACATAATAAGTTATTTGTTCACAAATTTCTCAGTTTATTGTTTTCATGTCGAGGTGTACGGATAATTTTTCTGGCGAGTGTATGTGCACCAGTATACCATAGTACCTATACACGGAACAGGAAAGGAGTCATAGCAAGGACTTACAAGGAATTACAGTAAAAGAGAGCACCTAGGACCCACTTTTAACACCCGGACGGACTGAATTATATAAGTATTATCTATAAGTATTTTATATATTAATCCATTTATTATTAATTAATAATGCCTAGATTGAGTAGAAAATCTATATTACTAAGTCGTCTTTAGAATAGAAGACGTATGAGAGTTCTTCGTGCAAACTCTTTATATAGAGATAGTGAACAGTCACAAAATACTGTAAGTCACGCTAATCGTAGATTAGATCCGATGTACGTCTGTCCGAACAAATTATCAATACAAATCAACATAGAACCAGGCCGGAAAATCCGCAAATTCGCTCTGAAGAGCAAATAAGAGATACTCGAGGTCATAGATCTCGGCTTGAAGATACCGAGGTTCGATCTGTTGAGCAAGTTGCAAATACTGTTCAACATAGAACAAGGCGGCAAGATCCTCACATTCGATCTGAAGAGTAAATAAGAAATACTCGAGGTCATAGATCTCGTCGAGAAAATCCTGAGGTACGTTATGATGAACAAAGTAGGAACACTAGGGATCATAGAGAACTTCGCGCAAGAAATCCTGAGTATAGGAATTTAGAGCGCATTCGTGATCAAATGCAAAGGGAACATGCAAGAAGACATCCTGAAGTAAAGTGAGAGGAGCGTGATAGAGAAACACAACGTCGACAGCTTTATAGGAGGGGTATGAGGGAAGAAATTTTGAATCAGAGATGTTTTAGACAAAGTCAAGTTCGCCTTCGTAGAGATAACCCGCTCAATAGGCAAATTGAAAACCAAAGGCAGTCCCAACGAATCCGATCAACGAGAGAAAATAATATTATTGAAACTGATAATAGTGACAATTTAACAGATTTCAAAAACATTTATTTCCAAAAATAAATAAGGGCCCTACTGAAATATATATTTGCTGTGACGGATTATTATTATAAATTACAATTTTTGTGCTAATTGCAGAAATACGATTGTCAAAAAGAACGTTCCAAAAATATGTTAAGCTCACGGTCTAGACTTTCCTGAAATACCGGATTGTTTGAAAGATTTAACCCCAATTGAAGAACGTCTCATAATGCCTAGATTGCCTTTTATGACAATCCGTCCGTTAGGATATCAAGGCCAGAGCTTGCTCAAAGGTGCTGTTGTTAATATCCCAATTTCTGCTAATATTGTGGCATCGCTACCAAGGTCCTTTGATGAGGCTCATGTGATACATATTCACTTAAGAAGGCGTTTGGAATACAATCATGATTACATGATCGATACTACGCCCCGCAAAGATTATGGAAGCTTTGCAATTCTTAGTGAATACCCCTCTATATCGTGAGCCCAATATACATATTATTGAGAACTGGATTTCAGAATTTAACAACCAAGAAGTTCTGTTTAATGCATCTGCAGAGGATTCCCGATTGGTTTAATCTTTTCATGCGGCACAAACTTCTCATGATATTCCCTCAGGTAATAATATTCCCACGGGTCTTTTACCTTTCGAGCTAAACCCATTCGGTTAAGAAACTCCTTTGGACAATATTCCTGTAGAAAACTTGGACTATAACCATTTAGTTATAGCGCCAGGTGAAGGTCAAATACCAATGACATAATTCAAGACAATAATTCTAAAGGGTTGTCATTTGGAACAATATAAGTACGCTGCTGGGCAGATAGTAGAATAAATATGTCTTTTGATGACTATTTGTTAGCCCTTAGATCAAGTTTAACAAAACCCAAAATTTTTCTAAAAAGAAAATTACAGGATCGTTTTATAAACGCTAACAATCCTCTGATTTTGGAACTCCATAGAGCAAATATGGATATCCAATATACACTATGCTTGCTGTTCATATACATATAATAAAATTATATTAACAAGTCTAACAGGGGAATTTCTAGGATCTTATCTGAAGCTATTACAGAGGTAAATGCTGGAAATTATACTGCTAAGCAAAAACTTAAAACTTAAACATATAGGTCAGAAATTTATATCAGGCACAGAAATATCTGCACAAGAAGCAGTATATTGCTGCATTGGGCTCCATCTTTCAGAAGAAGTAATTCAGAAATATTTATAAATACCTCTCGACCTGAGGAACGTGTTCGAATGGTAAAACCTAGAGCGGAACTTTAGAACCTTCCTTCAGGTCCGACTGATATAGTCGTAGCCGGTATTTTAGACCGTTATGTTCAAAGATCGGTTTAGTTAGAAACTCTTTGTTAGCTTATTTTGCATCCAAGTATGAAACAGATTCGTACCTAAGTAAAAGAACACCTAGGAAAAGAAAATGGTGGAATGAAATTGTTGGCCTAAAAAAAATTAGGTGCAAGAAAACAAAAATATAAAGAATTAAGATATTTAGTCCCTAAAAAAACACAGTTACTTATTGGGAAAAGAAAATAGGCAAATTGTGTCCACATATTGCTGCATTTTTGGGGATTAGTTTGTCAAACAATAACCGTAATTGTCACGGTAATAGATATAACAAAGAATTGAAAAGCATAGCTCAGGGTGTTCACTCCTTGTCACCTCTAGCGTACAGATGTTTAAAGCCTAATTTTATTTGGCTATCAGCACATAGTTTACTCAAAATTGCCCACGAAGTCCTGGGGTGCATCTATAGCAGCACAAAAACTCTGGAATTCTGAAACAGTCGCTAGCGAGTGACCAGAAATACTTGCCAATTTGCTGCGGTAAAATGTCTCTGAAGACCCATTTGCAGTATATGTATATGAATATGTATACAAAGTTTTTAAAACTTCTTAATTCTATGAGTTCTATGCGGAATATAACGACTGCAGTCTGGTGAAACCACCTTCAGACTTTATAAACTTCCTCCAAAAATCGGAGGAAATATTTTGGAAGCATTTTTATTCTTGCTGTCATCTGCGGTAGATTTCGAAATTTTTATTTTAAAAGTAATAAAGCAATAAAATAGAAATACGCGAACATGCACTTTTTCTTGCGAAATAAACCTTTCTAACAAACTTCTGACAGCAGACTGGTTGGTTTGCCAGCTCCGCCACGGTATATTAAACTAATGTAAAAATTTCAATAGCAATTTACTTAAATTATTTTGTTTAAATGTCACACAAATAAATTGCAAATTTAATGAGTGTGATTTCGCTAAAAGTATATGTAACACGTTCTTGGATTTTATTGTTAAGTAAGCAAGTCGTTGATAAAAAGCAACTCCTAAAAATATGCAATCGTAAAAATTAAATTGAAAATGGGCAATGTGTTGAATGAATGAATTCCTTGAGCAAGTAAAGTCTCAAGCAGAGAACGTAAATGAATATTCATTCAATATTCATTTACGTTCTCTGTCTCAAGCCACTTAAATACTTAGTAGTGTCCCATATTGTTTCTAGTGTCATACTGGACAGAGAGAGTATGGCTTGACTAAATAAAAATATTACACAGTATAAGCAGTAGATGGCGCTGTATAGCTTTACAAAAACAACTCCACACAAAACTTTGAATGAATTATGATAATTTATATATATGAATGATAATTTATATATTTACCAGTTTACATATAAAAGTAATAAAGTTAAAATGAAGTGACCGTAGGGTGAGCAAAAACAAAAACAATTTTAAAATTAAGTCGAGTCCTCCAACTATAACAGTGAAAGATTCACAAAATAATGCTTAAAATTCTTTGGATTTTTTCAAGAATGATTGAATATAAAATTACGACAAATCTTTCTTTTTCGTATTTAGTTATTGATTTATCGCAAATTTAGTAGTTTTAAACGAACCCGTTATATGGGAAGTAAGAATGGTTATCATCTGACTTCATCCATTTTCACACTGTCGATAGGGGCTCATAAAGAATTTTTTTAAGCGAATTTGGTTATTGTATGGAAAGAAATCTGAAACGAGTATATGATTTGGCTGCGCGAGAGTATAAAATTTTCGGTTACATCCGAACTTAGCCCTTTCTTACTTGTTTTAATTTGTTTAGGACGCGGTGGACGGAGGAATATGTTCTTCCAATTGTTTGTCCAATTTTTCTGAAACTGTCGCCATCTTTCCACAACTCAATGATAATGACAGCCAATGAAGGAAAAAGCTTATACAATGTACTTACTTATATATAGTTTCCTGTACACAATTACTTCGCCATCACATCCAAAAATATTAAGTTTCTCTCATCTGCAAATATTACTTTCGAGGCCAAACTTATGACGGGAATTCCCTAATCTATTGAATTGTATTGAATACACGCTATTAATATTTTCAAGAACAAATGTGTTAGATAGATAGTGATTGAGGTATGCACCGCGACCTATGGTCTATTGTGCCCTCCCCTAAGTCAAACAAATGTGTTAAAGATTAACATTATTATGTATGACGAAAAAAAGTACTTTTTTTCATCGTCATATTTTTTTATTTCTTACAAAACATTCAAAAATTAATTAAATTTCTTGTCTTAAATAAAAGTATATTCGAACTAAATTTTTTGCGATTAAAAGAAATAAATATAAATAACGCATCTTGATATTTTTATGTAAATATAAAAAAGTAAAAATAACTCCATTTTTATTAAAATTGCCATCTTATCGCAAATTCATTGGCTACAGAAACCCACTCGGAGGAACTGCTTGGTAACTAAAAAAAAAATATTTATGTAATTATTTAGTCTATAGAAAATAATTATTTATACCTTTAAATATAATCCTCTTAGTCTTATCCATATAGAGTCAGACACCTCTGGAATTATGCCACTAAACGCAGAAGTTGAAATTTTTGAAGCAAAGTTCAAACTCTGAAAAGTTTCTCCTATAAAATATGTACAATAATTGAATTCTTTTAAATTTTGATTATGCCAATTTTATAACAACAAAGTTTCAAGTGAAAATTACCTGTGGCAAGAAAACGTAGTCAGCGATAGTTTTTCCGCTAGAGAAATTGCTGCACGCATCCCAGTATCCTGCTTTAATAAATCTTCATTTATTGCAGAGAGTATAAAACCAAATTGATTGTCTGACATTCTTATATAATTGTTATACTCATTTTTATCGAGCGAGAGTAGTTCCTTTATTCAAAATGAATGCGAACCGTTTACTGATCTTTTTTCTCTCCATACCTTTACCCATTGCATTGCATCACAAAAAAAAAACTTTAGTTCGGACATACCGTCTGTTCTAATGCACAACTTCCAAATAACTGCAACTAAGCACGCGGTTCCAAAAATTTTTTTTTATATCTTATTTTTATCCTTATTTACAATTTTTCAAAATATTTCTATTATTCTATGCATACATATTTGCATATTACATACAAAAAATAGATAACAGAATTCAAATTTGTGAACGAATTCATTTGAAACCGAGCGCTCTTGCAACCGTTCAAAGAATTTAAAGAACACAAGTGGCACGGTCCCTTCGTCTTTCCTCGTCGTCCCCTCGCCCACAATAAACCGAATGGATTACAAAAGAGTCTGTGTCGGGTGGCACGCTTTGTGCCGTTTCACACAGGGATTCAAAAGAGTCTCATACCAGTTTGTGCCGTTTCACATTGGGACGCAAAAGAGTCTCATACCAGTTTATTGTGGGCGAGGGGACGACGAGGAAAGACGAAGGGACCGTGCCACTCGTGTTCGGGTNTAACAATAAAATCAATTAAGGATTTCAATTTTTGTTTAAACACACGTGCAGTTAAATCATGACGATGAATGGCTTGTTGTTCTGGCAATAGTAAAGTTTGTATCTCTATCCAATTCGGATTACATGTGAATGTAATAAATAAATCCGGTCGGCCGTAATGACGTACGTAAGTCATCGCATCTTGTATGTATTCCTGCATGTTCCGTGGACTGCCGATGTAGCTTGAAGGTAAAATGAAAGCATTACCGATGTCATTGGGATTTAAATTTCCATCGATGTTTCCAGCAACAGCATCCCGTTAGTGAATATATTCTTCCGATCGTATTTTTGCCTGGTTGAATCGAAGGAATCGCAAGCGTTCGCTTTCGACCTTAGCATACATATCAACAATGTATTGATGGAACAGCTGACGATATCGAAGTTTTGACCAATGAAGCACAAATAAGTAAAAAACAGGATTAATTTCACTGTATTATCTTCATTATAATATGAATTCAATTTACACTTTAGTCTAAGTAACACGTGGCCGGCCAATAACACCAAAAATTTAAAAAGTGGAAATAGTTGAATTATACGGAATTTCGTTCACTACAAAATAAATTTAATTAATTTTATAGCGTCAACAACACGTGGTAATTATGCTGTTAAAAAAAGACACGTTCGTAGATTTACCATAGCAGCGCCATCTATTGATTACTTACTCAACCCAGTCGAAAGGTATCGACATCTGTTAGACTCATTTGGAGTTAACAGATAATTGTGACTGTCAAATAATAACAGACAAATAATTAGCAATAAATTAAAATTGCGACTATAATTTGAGATTTAAACTATCCTATCTCTCAAGTTGGATCGAACTGCACATGGTGTGTTGGCGAATTTTATTATAATCGGTTCAGTGGTTTAGGAGTCCATTGAGGACGAACATTGTGACTCGAGATTTATATATATTAAGATATGCAATCATATTCATAGATATGAAATTCCTTTTCTGAATACCTATGATATCATGAAAAATGTATTACATTTTAGTTAAAATATATTACTTCAAAGGAATATTTGCAGTTGCTTTTTAAATATTGCTTATGTTTGATAATATGAAATGCTTTCATATAAGTACATATGTATGTATATGTATCTGCTATGTTTTACTATATATATACATACATAAGTATATAACACACTAACATAATATCTTAAAAATCTTAATATATTTAAATAGGAATATATTTCAATCACACCTTTCATGATTTAAAGCTTACATACATACATATGTATGTACTTATGTAAGTACAATTCAAATTCAAATCAAGTTATTATTATCCCAAATTTATAGTAAATCACACAACAACAACATTTTCATTCATAAACGCAGGCGTACTTTTAACAAGCAACCTCGCTTCATTCATAAAAACAGACACCCTCTCATCTCCCCGAGCATGCGTTTGCCAACAAGCTTCTTTTCGCGACGATGGCAAAAGCTAAAAATCATATATTGAACAAATTTCTGATATTCCCCTAGCAGGGAATAGGTGCAACCACGCAAGCCCACAAAACACAGAAAAAATTGACAAAACTGGCAACAAAGCTTTTGTCGATTTAAAATATTTTACAATTTTAAAATATTTTTCCGTGTCTCACAAAAATCTGCGTCAATATGTATGCATGCTCATACAGAAACATACATATTTACGATAGTTTGTAAGGCAAAAGCTGTTATACTTGGCATAGTTCGGATTTTCTACCAACAACACAATGTTGTGACGCTTTGTCGTCGCGTCAGTCCTTTCGACACAGTGACTCTTTGCAAGAAACAAAAACGTGAGCTCCATTGGTTGTCCGTGGCAGAGATTTCGCATGAAACAATGAGTGTAATATTACATATATACGTTGCATATAGACAAATTAACAATTATAATGGGTACTTTCATATTTGTTTATATGCAACATAATTATTACATATATATTTGAATAAGAATATTTGGACCGCTTCGTCTTTTTATAGGTTATGTCAAGCAAGAGTTGTACAAATCAAACCCGAGAATCTGACTGAACTGAAGCAGTCCATTATAATAGATAATTGAGGCAATCCCGAGTTGTGTCGATATGCGGGTTGAGTATGGAAGAATAATTAATTGTTTAAATAAAATAAATTTTCTATACAATAACAAAATTAATGTAATGCATTGACTAAAAAGAAACTTATTACGGTTTAATTTTCGTTAGCCACCCTGTATAGGAAGAATATCTTCAAATTACATCATCCAAGTCGGTTGCGCATTGTAAATTATACGAATCTGAAATGCGTACATTTCTTAACATTGAAATTAGCATTATTTCTGCTATCTTTTCCAGTCTCCTGATGTTAATTGTGGACATTTGTGAAACACGTCATCGTTTCCAGACCGCTTCCAAATTGGTGAAACACGCTCATCTTTTTCAGTTCCCCTGAAGCATGATATTTGCTAATGGCGCACTTCAGACCTTCTCATATAATCGTTCTCTGCTTTTTGCGTACGAAATCAATGTTCCCATTCTGACGCCAGTTTTAATTTCGCATTTAGTTCACAATCGTAAAAACAAAATTTGGTAGCATTTCAAGAATCACTAATGATAAAAGCAAAAAATTACGCTCAACCTGCCATCTTTTGACCGTAATTCTTTGAGATGGGGAAAAAGAGCATAGGACAAGCAGTTAAATTATAAACAAAAGCGTACCCACTTTCGTTAATTTGTAAAGATAGACTGGCAATTTAATTTAATTTATAGTGAAAAAGTTTAGTGAAGGAATAGAATAATGGTGCGTGGAAATACTTTAGTCATTTTCAAATAAATACATTTCTATTGGAAGAACTATAATTACCAATTAAGTGATTATTAAAGGGACGCTGGTGGCGTTTTCGTACTGTCCCTTTCCTCTTTGCGAACAGTTCCGCGGACCTATCGGACTGATTTGCGCATGCTTCATTTACCGAGGAATCGGCTAGCTCATTCCATTCGATGTTCTATGTACCCAGGGATCCATGGTAGTAAATTGTTCATGCATAGCCATGTTAAGCATTTTATGCAGCTCCAAGTACCCCATTGTTGATTGATTCGATACCGCTTGACTATCACTGGGAAGAATGAAATTTTGGAAATCCATATACTCAAAATTTTTCGATTGTGTCGAAATAAAAAAAATACGTCACTTATACGTATTTTGATCTAAGAACAAAAACCATTTTTGAATGTCAATTTTGGATAGAATGAGCCCATATAAATATAAATGATCAGGATGATGAGACCAGTTAAGTTCAGGTGATGTCTTCCGTCCGTCCGATCTGTCCATCCTGCAAAGCGATATCTTGAACAAAGTTGATAATTCTTTATGAAACTTGGTCACATGTTCTTGGCGCGAGTTGGTATTGCATATGGTTATAATGGACCACTGCGGACGCCAAACCACTACTAATCGAAATCGTATAAATTGCCATAACTAAGCCGCAACGAATCCAAAGTGTAGATCGTACAACGATTTGCATTAAGGAGGGCACTTGTAGTGAAAGCCTTCAAAAAGTTGATGTGTTCCACCCTGATAAATTTAATATATTGAACTGGATTTCTCGATAAATCGCTACGCTTAACCCTCTTGATTTCGATCACTGGATTGTTAAAAAAAAGTCCCAGTTAATGGCTACACACTTATCTTTAATTCTAATTCCAACACTAACTACTTATTGCTCGTTATTTGAGGCTTAAACTTCTTTATGTCTCAATTGTTGCTTAATCAGACGACATTCTAATTAGAACTGTGTTTGCTGCCAATCCTGGCAACCCTTATATATGTGAATCTGTACAAAACATTGCTTCTAGAACATTCTGGCAACTACAGATTCGCCTAACTATTGCTTCTGGCAGTTATCGTTGATTCGATTTTGTTCTATCTCCGTGTTCGTCAAATACTAAAGTCAAAATATATGCACCGCAATCAGTGTAAATCAGTTCCGTGATTATATCAATCTCACCACTATTTTCATAGAAGGTGTCTAAAATATTGGGAAACTTTAGTATAACGATCCCACGCTTTCGGGGATAAAATGGTATGGCGGATAGAGGAAGATCCTCCAGATCAAGTATTATATAATAATACAGGAAATCTATGGTTTCGAGATATATTGGGTTTAACCTCATGTTCAGAAATTTCGACTATTTAAAGTACTTTTTTTTCGTTATAGAATGAATTATACACTTATATTTTTAAACTATATCCACTACACTTCACTAAATCGTTTTACACATTTTTATATACCTATATCATAAAAATAGCTTTATTTCAATATTTTAAGTTGATTCCACAATTTTGAGATTTTCACAATAACAAGATGGTGCAATTGTATCATAACCAGTGTTAACCTTAATCGGACATCTTATTGTAAGTGAACTAGAAAAATGTAAACTGATTATCCAGATCTTGATCTGGGATCTCTCTCTACCGCCCATACCATTTTACTCCCGAAAGCGTGGACGTTAGTACTAAAGTTTTCCCATATTTTGGCACCTTCTGATGAAAATGGTGAGATTGATTATAATCACGTGAACTGATTTCACCGAATTGGAAATGATCTGACTTTATGTGTGACGAACACGGATGATAAATTAAA